GAGAATGACATACAAAGAATGGACATATACCTGCTTGGGGGATTTTTCTTTGGATATACATGGGCTTCCCTTGCAGCTAGAATCTGCCTGCAGTGCAGGAGACCTGGGTTAGATTTCTGGGTCGGGAAGATCCCCTGGAGAAGGAAATGGCAACTCACTCCAGTATTCTTGCCTGGAGAATCCCATGGACAGAGGAGTCTGGCGGCCTACAGTCCATGGGGTTGCAAGAGTCGGACACAACTTAGCCACTAAACCACAAGGACTCATATGTACAAAAATGACTACTTTAAATTAATTATGCATGCAGATGAGTTTTCTACATCAGCACAGTTCCACTTTTTTTCTTAAAATAATTTCCTTGAAATTATTCATATTAGTTCTTAGGAAAATATATATCAAAGTTTTCACTTTAGAATCTTCCCCAAATCCTTCTCAACAGAGAGCAATGAAATTCTCTGTACTCCTAAAACTCAGTCTAACATCTCAGTATCTGGTGTGATAAGGGTACTTTCTGAGGTCTCTGACACAAGAGAAGACTCAACACATGGACATCACCAGAAGGTCAATACTGATATCAGATTGATTATATTCTTTGCAGCCAAAGATTGAGAAACTCGATATAGCTAACAAAAACAAGACCAGGAGCTGACTGTGGCTCGGATCATGAACTCCTTTATTGCCAAATTCAGACTTAAATTGAAGAAAGTAGGGAAAACCACTAGCCCATTCAGGTATGGCCTAAATCAAATCCCTTATGATTATACAGTGGAAGTGAGAAATAGATTCAAGGGATAAGCTCTGATAGAGTGCCTGATAAACTATGGACAGAGGTTCATGACACTGTACAGGAAACAGGGATCAAGACCATCCCTGTGGAAAAGAAATGCAAAAAAACAAAATGGCAGTCTGAGGAGGCCTTACAAATAGCTGCAAAAAGACGAGGAGCAAAAAGCAAAGGAGAAAAGGAAAGATATTCCCATTTGAATGCAGAGTTCCAAAGAATAGCAAGGAGAGATAAGTTTGTCAATGTATGACAAAAACCACTACAATATTGTAAAGTAATTAGCCTCCAACTAATAAAAAATAAAAATAAAAAAATGTTTAAAAATATCATAAAATCTCATTAAAATTTTCAGTGAAATAAAAAAAAGAAAACCTTCCTCAGTGATCAATGCAAAGAAATAGAGGAAAACAATAGAATGGGAAAGACTAGAGATCTCTTCAAGAAAATTAAAGATACCAAGGGAATATTTCATGCAAAGATGGGCTCAACAAAGGACAGAAATAGTAGGGACCTAAGAGAAGCAGAAGATATTAAGAAGAGGTGGCAAGAATACACAGAAGAACTGTACAAAAAAATATCTTCATGACCCAGATAATCACGATAGTGTGATCACTCACCTAGAGCTAGACATCCTGGAATGTGAAGTCAAGTGGGCTTTAAAAAGCATCACTATGAACAAAGTTAGTGAAGGTGATGGAATTCCAGTTGAACTATTTCAAATCTTGAAAGATGATGTTGTGAGAAATGTCAATAACCTCAGATATACAGATGACACCACCATTATAGCAGAAAATGAAGAGGAACTAAAAAGCCTCTTGATGAAAGTGAAAGATGACAGTGAAAAAGTTGTCTTAAAGCCCAACTTTCAGAAAACTAAGATCATGGCATCTGGTCCCATCACTTCATGGCAAATAGATGGGGAAACAGTGTCAGACTTTAATTTTTTGGGCTCTAAAATCACTGCAGATGGTGACTGCAGTCATGGAATTAAAAGACACTACTCATTGGAAGGAAAGTTATGACCAACCTAGATAGAATATTAAAAAGCAAAGACATTACTTTGCCAACAAAGGTCTGTCTAGTCAAGGCTATGGTTTTTCCAGTGGTCATGTATGGATGTGAGAGTTGGACTGTGAAGAAAGCTGAGTGCCGAAAAATTGATGCTTTTGAAATGTGGTGTTGGAGAAGACTCTTAAGAGTCTGTTGGACTGCAAGGAGATCCAACCAGTCCATCCTAAAGGAGATCAGTCCTGGGTGTTCATTGGAAGGACTGGTGCTGAAGCTGAAACTCCAATACTTTGGCCACCTCATGCGAAGAGTTGACTCATTGGAAAAAACCCTGATGCTGGGAGGGATTGGGAGCAGGAGAAGAAGGGAATAACAGAGGATGAGATGGCTGGATGGCATCACAGACTCGATGAACATGGGTTTGAGTAAACTCCAGGAGTGGGTGATGGACAGGGAGGCCTGGAGTGCTGCAATTCATGGGGTCGCAAAGAGTCAGACACAACTGAGCAACTGAACTGAAGTGAATTGAAGTCTGAACTAATCTTCTTTCACAGTGACCTGAATCGTTTTAAATGCCAATCACTCTCAATTACTATGTGTGCTGTTGATGTACTGCTTCAGTCAGGGATTTTTTGTAAGTATATGCACAATAAAATTGAAAAGCGATTGTACACAAACGGTTATATCTAATTAAAGAATTAAAGCTATTAATAAATCTATCTGAAATTAGAAATTACAGAATTCTACAATGGGAAAGTGACAGTTTGGGTAGATTAAAGATAATGGTCATTTTTCACACTTTTTTTTTTTAGAGGTGCAGTACCTATTCATCCTCTCTTTGAATATTTGCTATACTTTAGCTGCTTTGCCCAACAGAAATTGGCAGAAATAATGTAAGCCAGTTTTGCGTTTCTCGCCTCTCCCCACCCCACACCACACAATATTGGATCTTATTTCCCATCCAGGGATGGAAATGTGCCTGCAGTAGAAACACGGTGTCACCCACTGGGCTCCAGGGGAGCCTCTGTGAGTCAATCCTGCATCAAACCTTTAGGAAGACAGTATCTGAAAGCCATGTGATACCAGGTAGGAAGTCCATCTAACCATCTGAGAATACCTTGAGACAGATTCTGAGACTGCTTCAAGAGCGAAGAAGAGAATATGAGCTCATCTTTCCAGCCATTCTCATCCAGTGACAGAGGTGAGTTACCTTATAACCTAGCCTATCCTTCCACTGAATATTTCATGTGACCTCAGTCAACATGAGGATGAACAAAATAATGAATCAGTGATCATTATTTTAAAAGAAAGATACTGCTAAGTCATGTCCAACTCTAGTGAGCCCATGAACTGTAGCCTGACAAGCTCCTCTGTCCATGGAGTTCTCCAGGCAAGAATACTGGTGTGAGGTGACATTTCCTTTTCCAGGTGAACTTCCCAACCCAGAAATTGAATCCAGGTCTCCCGCATTGCAGGGAGATGTTTACCAACTAAGCTACACAGGAAGCCATTTGAATCATGGGGTTTTGGAATACTGTTTAGGTAGCAAGCGATAACTGCAGCAGTGTGGATATATAAATAAGAGAATATTTTAGGGGTAATTATTTTCCATATATATTTATATTATATATATATTCATTTTATATATTTGCATTACATATTTATCATATATATTAACATACATCTGAAAAGTGAAGAGAATATTTGAAAAGTATATCTACACATCTGAAAAAGAACTTGTATCTGAACTTTATGAAATGTTCTCATCAATAATAAGAAAACAAATTATAATAATAAAATTTAGGCAAAGGATTGACTAGATATGCTCACCAAGAAGATGTGCAAATAGAAACATTGTATTTGAGTCTGCTCAGTGTTATTAGTTTTTAGGAAGAAGACAATAAAGTGACAATATCTGCTAAATGGGTTAAAATTAGAAATACTAATCATATCTAATTTTTCCTGTTTCTTCTGAATTCTCATTTGGCATTTAACAAGGACACAGATTATCTTTTTACTTTTGGAGTTACTTCTCTGATTATTTCTTTTAATTATTTCTTGCTTTTTACCTACCTTTTTTCCTCTAAAGCTAGAAAACTCATCAAACTAAATTTCATATAATTACCGTGTTTTTAATTTTGGGAAAATAATAGGGATAATTTTTTATGTTTTTTTATATGTCACTGTCATTCTTGGTGTGACTGCCTCAATCCTCAAACACCAACTGTCCTCCTGTGGAGATACAGTGGAGACAAAACTTAAGCCACGTAACTAATTGCCAATAATGTTCCACCAGTTAAAATCAAGAAGCTGATGTGTCTGTGTTACAAAAGAGTTTCGCGACCATCATTTGTTCACTTTCTGGCACACTGTTGATGTGTGTGGAATAGTCCTTGGTCACCTAATTCATCTCTGTCCAAATTGTCCATATTAATTTTTCCCTCAGGTATGTCCCTATCTTCTGGGATGCAAAAATCCCTTGGGTTTAATCAACTAAACCTGACTTCAGTTTTTTTCAGTGTTGCTCCTCAAGACCACACAAGATAACCTCCTTTCAATCTACTCCCACCCAACAGTTTCAACCTGACTTTGGGTAGCTACATTAGTAATACAAGCTGGGCAACATAAAATATCTCCCAATGGGATTTGTGTTTCAAAAAATGGAGATCTGAGATAACTGAAAAGCATGTGTCAAGGAGAAAATATATGCATCAGATAAGAGCAAGTGAGAAAAAATTAGATTTCAGAATTTCCTTGTGCCCATGGTGACAGTAAAATCCTGTGTAGGCAGCCATCTACTCAGAAGATGAATTTCTCAGAACATGGTTGCATGTTCCTTAAACCTGGAGTGCTGTGGTTCAGAGTTCACTGCATGATCAGGTACCAAATTTCATTATGTCTCATGGCTTCTGGGAGAATGACTAGAAGAGCCAGTGGGTGGATATAGACAGTGTTGTTCTACAAGAAAGGAGTACTTCTAGTAATATAATGATTAATTGTGTACTGAGATATGAATGTGTGCACTAAATCAGTTTCACAAATATATAATCAATAATTCTTTTGTATAAGAAACTATCAGCTGGAATGTGCGGCTCCCGCAAGCTCAGGGCGCGGGAGCAGAGCAAGCGCCGCTGAGGCCTGGAGCCCCAGAGCCCGCTGTGGCTGGTGGCGGCGGCCCGGGCCGCAGGGCGCGAGCCAGCGGCCTGAACACTCTCTGCAGCCCCACTGGGTCTTTGCGGGCCTCGACGGGACCAGCGGCCAACTTTTCCAGCGCCTCCCTCCCCTCCGCCGAAACTCCTGCAACAAAGAAAAGTAGTCCGTGAAGGAGCGGCGACGCGGGTCATCGCCCCTCCTTGCCCAGGAAGGCCGAGCACAGACATGGCCACGCAGGTGATGGGGCAGTCTTCCGGAGGAGGAGGGCTGTTCACCGGAAGTGGCCCCATGGGCATGGCCTTGCCAAATGACATGTACGACTTGCCCGACCTCTCTCGAGCTGAACTGGCTGCGCCTCAGCTCATCATGTTGGCAAACGTGGCCTTAGCTGGGAAAGTAAATGGCGGCTGCTATGATTATGTGGTTGGCGAAGAAAGACAGATGGCAGAATTGATGCCTGTTGGGGATAGCAACTTCTCAGATAGTGACGGAGAAGTACTTGAGGAGTCTCCTGAGGCGAAAGGCGAACCCAGGGGGCTGGAGAAGATGGAACTGGAAAGTTTGGAACTCAGCATGGTCCAGCCACGGCCTGTGTTCGAGGCGTCAGCTGCCTCAGAAACGCACAGCTCCAACAAAGACCTTCCTCAGGAGACCCCCGCAGCAGAGGACAAGTGCAAGAACGTGAAGACCAAACCCTTCCGCTGTAAACCGTGCCAGTACGAAGCGGAATCTGAAGAGCAGTTTGTGCATCACATCCGAGTTCATAGCGCCAAGAAATTTTTTGTGGAGGAGAGTGCAGAGAAGCAAGCGAAAGCCAGGGAATCCGGCTCTTCTCCCGGGGAAGAGGGCGATTTCTCCAAGGGCCCCATCCGCTGTGACCGCTGTGGCTACAACACCAATCGCTATGATCACTACACTGCTCACCTGAAACATCACACCCGAGCTGGGGACAATGAGCGCGTCTACAAGTGCATCATATGCATGTACACCACAGTGAGCGAGTATCACTGGAGGAAGCACCTGAGAAACCACTTTCCAAGGAAGGTTTACACGTGTGGGAAATGCAACTATTTTTCAGACAGGAAAAACAATTATGTTCAGCATGTTCGAACTCATACAGGTGAACGTCCGTATAAGTGTGAACTTTGTCCTTACTCAAGTTCTCAGAAGACTCATTTAACCAGACATATGCGTACTCATTCAGGTGAGAAGCCATTTAAGTGTGACCAGTGCAGTTATGTGGCCTCTAATCAGCATGAAGTAACCCGCCACGCAAGACAGGTTCACAACGGGCCCAAACCTCTAAACTGCCCCCACTGTGACTACAAAACAGCAGACAGAAGTAACTTCAAAAAACACATGGAGCTTCATGTGAATCCATGTCAGTTCAACTGCCCTGTGTGTGACTATGCAGCTTCCAAGAAGTGTAATCTGCAGTATCATTTCAAATCTAAGCATCCTACTTGTCCTAATAAAACCATGGATGTTTCAAAGGTGAAACTAAAGAAAACCAAGAAGCGAGAGGCTGACTTGCCTGATAACAAAATCACCAGTGAGAAACCAGAAAGAGCAGGCAAAAGTAAAGGGGGATGTGACTGGGAAGAAAAACGAGAGGTCTGTAAAGGTGGAGAAGAAAGAGAATGTTTCAAGAGAGAAACGGCCTTGTAGTAATGCCTCAAGCCAGGTGACCACCAGAACTCGCAAATCGGCCATGGAAGCTAAAGAAGTGGATGTGTCCCCAGGAAACAATTCAGAAAAGAACTGCAAAAGAAAGAAAAGCAAAAGGAAGGTGGAAGCTGAAGCCCAATCCTTACAAGAGCCTGTTAATGATGAGGAACCTGTGACTAAAAAGAAAAAGAAGGCAGAAAGCAAATCCAAAAATAGTCAGGAAGTGCCAAAGGGTGACAGCAAAGTAGAGGAGAATAAAAAGCAAAACATTTGCTTGAAAAACAAGAGGAAAACCGTGAGAAGTA